AGAGAGAGCAGGCACACGCAGAGGGGGAGAAGGACAGGGACTGAGAGAGAGAGAGAAAGAGAGAGAGAGCAGGCACGAGCAGAGAGAGAAGGACAAGAACCGATAGAGGGATGGAGAGAGAGTCACAGTTTTGCTAGTTTTTTTTTTTATTATTTTTTTTATTTATTATTCTTACTTATTTCTTTAATCTTATTTAAATGTTTAGTATCCTATCGTGCTCTCCCTAATCGCTGAAGAGCGCTGTGCGACGACGGGGCCTGACAGATCTTGAACTCGATTGGCCCTTTCACCCTGCTGGTCGCCGAGGACCTCGGAGCGGGCGCGGCGAAGTGACAGGCGCCGTAGCCCATGGCTTCAGCGAACGGTAGGTAGCCCCTCCCCGGGTTTCCTCACACCGTTGGTCGCACCGTTGTTGCCGTTAGCCTGCCCGCAAAGGCGGGTTTACGAAACATGTTCGTTTGTTTGTATTCAAATTTTCCTATTTTTGTGTTCGTTCCTGTCTGTCCTTATCGCATGTCCGCGGTCACGTCTGTGGGCCTTGGTCCGTTTGCACACGGGTGACGCAGTGTGCGCTACGCAGACAAAAGGGAGGGGTTAGGACAGCCATCGTTAGTGGTACGCGAAACCCTCTGCCCCCCCCCCGCCCCCCCCGGAGTGAGTGGCACGTCACACCTCGTGCGCTGACGTCGGCAATCCATCAAACGTGCACGTACGCCATGGATACAGAAATGGACGAGTGGGATGACTCTACGTTCCTCTTGGTTTTCATCCTTTTGCAGTGGATGAACCATAGGAACGTTGTGGCGATGACCGTCATCCAAGCGGCGTCTGCAGTTCCCACGTCGGTGCCAGGCATGTCCAATGCTCTTTTCCTGCTGGGTGGCGCGGTGATGCACGGCATGTCGTTGACATCCGCGGTTGCGGCGATGGTAGGTCGGCATATGGATGAGAGACGACGCGTTTGGGTTTTGCAACGCAGCGGCGGTGTGTGGGAGGATCTCCAACGAGTTGGCGGCCGGCACTGCAGACTCCCCCGACCGTTGTTTAACGAGGTGCTAGCTCGCATCGCTCCTCATATCTAGAGGCAGGAGACGAATTGGAGACAGCCTATACCGGCAGCTCAGAAATTCGCTTGCGCGCTCATGCGATGGGCGACAGGAGGGTTCTACAGGCAATCGGCACACTCACTGGGTATGGGACTTGCAATTGGCCAGCGCAGCAATGAGGATGTCGCTGATGCTCTCATCAACGAGTACGGCCACCTGCTTCAATTCCCGACTGGCCAAAGGCTTCAAGACGTAATTGACACTTTCGAACGGAAAGGGTTCCCCGGTTGTGTCGGGGCAATCGATTGCACCCACGTTTACATAGAGAAGCCAAGGAACAGGAGGGGAGAGTGTTATTACGATCTGACAGGCCAGTTTTCGGTGGTCGCGCAAGTGGTTTGCGACCACGAATGCCGTATCACTAGTGCATACGTTGGCAGTCCCGGATCAGTTCATGACAGTCGCGTGCTGCGAGTCTCCCCCATTTATCGACAAGCACAATGGGGGACGGGTGTGTTCGCGACTGGGAGTGAAGTCCTGCGCGACTGACGGAGGGTGGGCAGGTACTTCCTGGGTGACGCCGGTTACCTGCAGCTGCCATGGTTGATGACACCGATTGGAGGGAACAAAAGGACGCCAGCGGAGCAAGTTTATGACGACTGTCACACGCCAGCGAGGTCTTGCATCGAGCGCACGTTCGGCCGCTTGAAGAAGGTGTGGACCTCGCTTGCACCGTTCGCCTGTGACGAGCTTCTCGGACCATCACCGGAGGAGGAAGCCTAGGAAAGACGGCGGCGATGTCACTGTTCGCCTGTGACGAGCTTCTCAAACAACCGGATATGACAGGCGAACGGCTGGCGCGCAACAACGTCTGACAACTCTCCGCGTACTCTCCGATTTCCCGGAGAGTGGAGAGTAGTGCAGCCAGAGGATCTCGCTGCACTACACTCCAATGACTCAGTGAGTCTCCACTCTCCGAATTCGGAGAGTTTTTTATGGCTGCACTAAGTTCACTAACTATCCGATTCCACCCCTCAAAAACCTTTGGATAGCTGTCAGAAGCTGCCTTGGAAAAGCACTCTCCGCTGGTGGAGAGTGCCCAGCCTGCAATGGTGGTTTTCCGGATGGACCTCCGCCCGACCTTCCAATGCTCCAAATTCGGAGAGTGTACCTGGAGTCTGGGCGGACAAAGTGCAAATCAGGCCTGTCTGCTAGTGCACTCACAAACTGGAGTTAGGAGTCTGGATAGCTAGTGCAGCGGTGAACCCAGAATGACGAATTTCTCTCCAATTTTTCGGAGAGTGGAGAGTAGTGCAGCGAGGCCCACAGGCTGTCGAAACTGGAGGCGGGAAGAAAATTGGCAAGTTGTCAGAGATGCTTCGACACCTCCTGTCGAAAGTTGGTTGTTGAATCCCCAGCCTGCCACGCCGGTGCCACGCCGATGCTTTCGGCAGTCCTCGGCTGCACCATCGACTTCTCCTCGAAATTTGGTGAGTGGGTGCGAGGTCGGTGGGATGGACTAATGTTTGTGGTACCCTCAGGCGAGTTCTTGTTTTTAATTTTCCATCTTGCATTCACAACTTCACAAGTGCAGTGCATCCACTCTACAGTGCTGTGTGGCTAAAGGGGGGTAAACTGTCGAAGGGAGCCTTAGGGCGGCTGTCAAATTTATTCTGACAGCCTTCCATTTTTTTGGCCTTTCTACAGTGGTGTGGCAAGGCCCATAGCCACACCACTCTCGAAATGTGCAAAATGAGGGCCTCGCCACACCACTCTTGAGAAAGAGTTTTCAAGAGTTGCGGTGCCGCCACATTGCCACTTGAGACCGAAAAAAACTTCAAGCGCTGTCAGAACGCGGGGTCAAGAGTCGCGATTGAGGAACCCGGAATCCCCACCTGCAACACTCGATATGTCAAACGTCCTCGGCCCGGTGGTCCACGGACGGTTGATTCTCAAGAGCTGTCAGGTCTTCAATTCTGACAGCGGTCAGTGATTTCGGCCTCCGCTTTCAAGAGTCGACTCTTGTGATTTCGGCCCCTGGGTCCATCCCGGGCCGCCGGTTAGCAATTCTCAAGAGTAGGCCTCCGCGCCACACACAACTCTTGAAAGTCCTCCAGCGATCGGGCCCTTTTCTCAAGAGTCCGTTTGTCAAGAGGTCTGTGCGGCGAAGAGCCCAAAACTCTTGAAACACAGACTCTTGAGAAAATCTGACAACTCTTGAAACATTTCGCGTTTGCAAGAGTGGTGTGGCGAGGCCCTGAGAATGAGCTTCCTGCTAAAATATGGCCAGATGCACCTGGCACATTTTTGTCTTTTTCACATTTGGCATGAGAGGCTATGCCATGAGATTTGACAGAAGATTGAATTGGGGCCTCGTCCCATGCCCCATGGCACACGAAACAAAAAACGAAACGAGTGCATCTTCCAGCAGAAAATGGCCAGGTTCATCTGTTTGCTATAAATAGTAACGAGTGTATGTTGCCATCTTCCGTGGGCAGATGCACTCGTTTTTTTTTCACTGTGCCGCGAGGCCCTTGGGTCGGGTTGATTCACCTTTTTCAACCAAAAAAAGAAAAGGGATAATTTGCAAAATACCCCCAAAAGTTGAGATATATGCCAAAATGCCCCTAAAACATGTGGGTAGAGGGGAATGCCCCTCTGACAAACAATATATTTTGTGAAATACCCCTGGCGTCTATTGGACCCCCATCTTTGCAATATACCCCTACAGGGTACCTTCCAACTTTGCAATATACCCCTAGGCGCTATTGCAAAAGGCGAAGGCCCAAACGGGGAGGTCCAGATTGCGAAGTTGCACACCCGCCTGACAGGGGCACAACACAAAGATTTCAGATGAAAAGGGCATTCCGCTCTATCTACATCTTACGGGGGCATTTTGGCATTTATCTCAACTTCTGGAGGTATTTTGCAATTTAATTATCCCAAAAGAAAAAGAAAAAGAAAAACGAAAAAAGAAAAATGAAAAAAGAAAAACGAAAAAAGAAAAACGAAAAAAGAAAAAAAGAGAAAAAAAAAGAAATGAAGGGCCTCGCCACCAGTGCCGGAGCCCCATTCACCGTTCACGGGGTCTGTGGATGGAGACCGGTCATGGAGTTCACGCCGTTCACGACACGGGAGTTCATGGAGTTCACGGAGAGCGTTTTTTTTTTTTTTTTTTTTTTTTTTGGTGTTTTTTTTTTTGTTTTTTATAGGAAGATGTGTATAAGAGACAGGTACTGAGAAGTAAGTACGTGAGCGAGTTCCTTGTCGAGGAGGAGCGGGAGGTGCTGCAGGGTGCACAGGGCGCACCCTCACAAAAAGACTCCCCCTCGGCTGTATCCCACTGTGTTATTGCTGCCACACCCGTCTTCACCCGAATGGAA